TGGGGGTAGTTTTCTTTTAAACCGTTCAAACCTAGCTGCTTTTCTTCGAGGATTTTTCTTTTTGGCAGGCCATCTCTGTATAGAGTCCAAGAGCCCGAGATCCCAAACCTGAGATCTTCACCATTTTTTTGGCATGCTTTGGCATGGATGTCAACGGGTGGCACAAGGTCAATTTTTCCTCCTCCTCTTCAGACTGGGAGGGATGCTCAGATATATTTCTGGATGTGTCTATTTGCGTTTGGATTGTTGTGACTATTAGCCAATAGCAGCAGCCTGTCTCTTTCCTCGAGCGGGGGGTTATCGTGGTGCTACAGATATATTTGGTGCCATTCCTGTCAATTAATCAATGAGTGAGTACATGATATGGTATGGTAACATATAGGAAGGAAGTGAAAAACAAAGAAGGTTCTGCGACCAGTTATGCGATCACAGAACAACTCTGCGAGTCGAAAAACAATTCGCATATTACAACCTTGAGAGGCAAAACAAATTATATGGTCCGCAGATGTGACCGCAGAACAACTATGCAACCGTAAATAGGTCGCATTTTATTCTTCTGATTTCGCTTTTTTTTCTGCCTCTGTCTGCGACCTATGTGCAGTCCACAAAATGTTTCTGCGTTCGCAAATTTAACCGCACAAGGGCTTTTAGAAAACTTCCTAGCATGCAAAATGCGATGACCCTGCAGACCACAAACCAGTTATGCGGACCGCAAAGATCATCGTTCCTAATCAAAAAGTTATTCATGGGAAAATGCACAATCACCAAATTCATACTCAGTCCTAAATGCACAAGCACACACTTAGTCATCACGACGACATATATGCAAAATTTCACAACATTCCAACCCTTTTACTCTATTCCTACCCCTTAATTCGAATCCCCAAATTTCGATTTACCCACAATGTGTATTTTCCCCTAGCATTGATTTTCAGAACAATCACTCACTAATGATTACTCGTAGCAAAGAGTTATGGAGAAAGTGGAGGGTACGTGGGTGAAAGCCCACAACAATGAACATACAAGATTGACTAATGTAAGAGAAGGTTGGAAATTAGCATACCGGATATCAGAAGATGGAGAATTACTGTGTGAATCGCGAGCAAGGTAAGCCTTTCCTTTTCAATTACTTTTTTTTAATTTTATTTTTCATAGTGGTTTGGGTCTTCTCTTTCTTTTCTTTTTGGGTTATGCTTTGCGCTTGTGTGTGTTGGAGCGTAAATGAACAGCGGAAATGAGCGAGGGACTTAGGGCTTAATACATGAGAGGTTCACAGTGAGGCAGTGCATCGCATAACATATTATGCGGTCGTATATGTGTTATGCAATGGGTTAGTGGTTGAGTGATGCGCAACAGATTTGCGACTAGTTCTACAGTCGCAGAATCATTATGCGGGCCGCAGAAAGTAAACTTTTACCGTATTTATTAAGGTCTAGTTTGCATTTTTTTCTGCTTGTGTCTGCGACGATTATGCGGTCCGCAAATCTTTTATGCGGTCGCATATGGTGCCACAGAATACAACCGAAGCTTGGCTTGCTTTTACTCATTTTCCTTTACCCTTGCATCCTATTTCATTTTATTTTGGGTCACCTGCATTCTAACACACACATCAAACTTCTCAACACTTACAAATACAAGCACCGAAATTAAAATCTAACCAAAAAGTGTTACCACACATGGGTTGCCTCCTATGAAGCGCTTGATTTAACGTTGTGACACTATGATGTTGCCTCCGTTTTGGCTAATCAGTGGTGGGGGTTAGTGTAGAACCATCCTTGAGTGTGAATTGTTCTACCAAGTGCCTTTCTCCAATGGTTCGGAGGTAATTCTTGACCCTTTGGCCATTTACTTTGAAGGTTCGAGTCCCATCCTCGGATTCCAATCCAATAGAGCCATAGGAAGATACATTCACAACTTTTAACAGGCCCTACTTTTGGATTTGATTTTGCCAGGAAAGAACATCAGTCTTAACTTTAAGAGTAAGACCAAGTCACCGGATTTCAATTCCCGCTTCAAAATCTTCTTGTCATGAACAAACTTTATTCTTTCCTTATACATGACTGCATTCTCATAGGCACGAAAATGGAATTCTTCCATCTCGTTGAGTTGTGTCATTCTTAGATTAGAAGCTTCGGCCCAGTCAAGATTTAGCTTTTTCAATGCCCATATAGCTTTGTGTTCAAGCTCCACTAGCAAGTGACATGCCTTACCAAAACCCAACCGGTATGGTGAGGTGCCAATGTGAGTCTTATATGCTGTGTGATACGCCCACAATGCATCATCTAGCTTCTTTGACCAGTCGTCCCTACTTGCATTAATAGTTTTTGCTAGAATGTTTTTGATCTCCTGGTTAGAAACTTCAACTTGACTGCTTGACTGAGGATGATAAGGGGTGGCCACCTTATGCTTAACCCCTTATCTTTCAAGCAACCCGACAAAAGCTTTGTTGCAAAAGTGAGAACCACCATTACTAAGGATATCCCTTGGGGTTCCAAACTGTGTAAATACATTCTTCTATAAGAAGGCGGTTACACTCATTTCCTCATTGTTCGGGAAGGCAATTGCCTTGACCCATTCACAGATGTAATCTACTACCACCGAGATATATCTCATGCCATAAGAGCTTACGAAGGGACCCATGAAACCTATCCCCCATGCATCAAAGATCTTGACCTCTAGCACAAAGTTCATAGGCATCTCATGCCTTCTAGAAATTGACCCTTGTCTTTTGACATTGGTCACATGCCTTGACCATTTGGTTTGCATCCTAGTAGATTGATGGCCAATAATAGCCACATTCAAGCACTTTGGCCGCAGTACGATTTCCACTATGGTGGCCGCCAACTGGGGAGTCATGACATGCTTTGAGAATTTGAATTACCTCATCTTTCAGGTGACAGCTCCGAATGATATTGTCGGTGCAAATCTGGAACAAAAAAGGTTCCTCCCAATAGCATTGCCTACACTCCCACAAGAACTTTTTCTTTTGATAAGCTTCCAATCCATCTTGGATATGGTCACTAACATGGAAGTTAGTGATGTGAGCATACTAAGGAGTGAATGTGCTAGACAATGCCAATATGTGTTCATTAGGGAAGACATCATTAATTTCAAGATCCTCTTTTAGCCTCCCTCCCTCTTAAAGCCTAGACAAGTGATCTTCAACTTGATTCTTTTTTCCTTTCTGATCTTTGACTTCAAAGTCGAACTCTTGTAACAAAATAACCCACCTAATCAATCTTGGTTTAGCATCCTTCTTTTCCATAAGGTAGCGGAGAGTGGCATGATCGGTGTAGACTATCACTTTGGAGACCAACAAATAGGCCCAAAAATTTTCAAAAGCATAGACAACGACAATCACTTCTTGCTCCATCACAGTGTAATTCTTTGTGCGCCATTGAGTGTCTTGCTTGCATAATAGATAGGGTGAAGAATCTTGTTATGATTGACCAAGTACTACTTCAATAGCTACACCACTGGTGTTACACATGAGCTCAAATAGAATAGACTAATCAGCTGTGACAATAATAGGTGTCGTGGTGAGCCTTGCTTTCAATTCCTCAAAAGCTTTGAGGCACTTCTCTTCGAACACAAACTTTTCATCCTTTTCAAGGAGCTTGCACATGAGACTTGCAAATTTTGAGAAGTCTTTGATAAATTGCCTACAAAAACCGGCATGTCCCTGAGAAATCTAAGCGCCTTTTACCGAAGTGGGAGGAGGAAACATGGAAATGATCTTGATCTTTGCCCGATCAACCTTTATGCCTTGCTTGGAAATTTTGTGTCCAAGAACAATACCTGCGTCCACCATGAAGTGACATTTTTTTCTAAGTGAGCACAAGGATTGTTTCCTCACTTCTTTTGAGCACTTGCCTAAGGTTGTCAAGGCAATGCTCAAAGGAATCACCAACTACTGAAAAGTCATCCATGAACACCTCTAAGAAATCCTCCACCATGTCCAAGAAGATTGACATCATGCATCATTGAAAGGTAGTCGGGGCATTGCATAGCCCAAATGGCATCCGGCTAAAGGCAACGGTCCCACACGGACATGTGAATGTCATCTTCTCTTGATCATCTAAAGTGATGTTGATTTGGTAGTAGGTGGAAAAACCATCCAAGAAGCAATAAAATAAACTTCCCGCTAGCCGATCAAGCTTTTGGTAGTTGAAGAAGCAATAGGGAATTGGTCTTTACAAGTAGCACTATTGGGCTTCTGGTAGTCCATGCAAACTCTCCACCCGATTACCATCCTCGTTCGGATGAGTTCATTTTTGTTGTTTTGAATCATGGTCATGCATCCTTTCTTTGGCACACATTGCACCGGAATCACCCATAGACTATAGACAATAGGATAGACAACCCCAACATCCAACTAGTTTTCGATTTCTTTCTTCACTACCGCTTGCATTGAAGGATTTAACCTTTTTTGATGCTCCATGTTAGGTTTGCTTTCTTCTTCTAATTGTATCTTGTGCTCCCAAATTCCTTCGGGAATCCCTTGAATATTCGCTATAGTCCAACCAATGGCTTGCGTGTGCTCTCTCAAGACATCCAGTAAGTGTTCATCCTATGCATTATTCAACAAAGAAGAAACAATTATGGGTAGAGTTTCATTAGAGCCAGGAAATTTATACATTAAGTGCGGTGGAAGTGTCTTGAGCTCAAGTTGTTGCGGTTCGATAATTGTAGGTTGTGGGTGGGGTGAATCTATTCTCTAAGTCAAGAGAAAGCATCTTTGGTGCATAAGTGTAGGATCCATGTTCTTCTGATGCATTCATCGATTCCATGTATCATTCCGTGTGTTCACCATCAAAATTTACCAAAATAGCCTTCAATGCCTCACCGAGGCATTCCTCTTCAATATTTACCTTGACTGCATCTTCTACCTCATCAACAACATATATGACTGAGATACTTTCGTAAACATGTGGTACTTTCATACCCTTGCTCGCTTGAAAAGTAACTTCTTCGTCATTAACTCGGAACTCGATCTCATTTCATTCTGAGTACATGAGTGCCCTCCCGGTAGCAAGGAATAGTCTACCCAAGATGATAGGGATCTCTTTATCAACAACACAATCTAGGATAACAAAGTCGACAGGGAAGAGAAACTTACCCACTTTTACAAAAACATCATCAACAATTCCCACAGGTCGCTTTATTGAACGATCGACCATTTGCAACCTCATACTTGTACACCTAGGCATACCTAATCCTGATTGCTTGTAAAAGGCCAGGGGCATTAAGTTGATGCTAGCCCCATTATCACAAAGGACTCGTGCAAAATCATGCAATCCAATAGTGCATGGAATGGTGAAGCCACCTGAATTCTCTTTCTTTTGGACGACGGTTGTTGCAATGATGGAACTAACCCGGTGAGTCACATTAACCACTTCATTTTTGGTGGTTCTTTTTTTAGTGATCAAGTCTTTCAAGTACTTAGTAAACCCCGACATCTCTTGAAATGCTTCCACATATGGAATGTTCACCGATAATTGCTTGAGAATGTCATAGAACTTCTGAAGTTTGCTATCATCAAACTTTCTAGCAAGTCTTTGAGGGAAAGGAAGAGGAGTCCTAGGAATTGGAGATAGAGTATTTGGTTCCTCTATTACCTTTTCCTTAACCTGTTCATGGTTCACTTATTGAGTTCTCTCCTTCTTCGGGAGTCTTTCAACTTAAACAACAATTGGCACCTTAACTTATGCCTCGACTTATTGTTCAGAATCTTCCAATTCGACCACTTGTTCATTCTCTCCTTGAAGTAGTTTTCCACTTCGGTTTGTGATTGCCATACAATGAGATGTTGAACCACTCACACTTCCTTATGGGTTTGCAATTGTGTCGCTTTGGAGTGTGCCTTGCTCCTTCGGATACTTCTCTCTTGAGAGATCTCTCATTTGCATTTCTAACTTTGGAATGGATGCAGCGTGAGAACCCACAATTTTGGACATATTCTTTATTGATGTGTCGGATCTCTCTTGATTCTACAGTGCTCGTTCAAGCATGTTTTCTAGCTTGGACTCACTTGAAGAGCTTTCCTTCCAATGCGTGGAGTTAGAATATTGCCCCTTTGGAGGAACATAGGGGTTTGAACTTTTATTTGAAAAGTTGTTGTTGTTACTCCAATTTCCTTGATTTGAACTACCTTGGTCGTTTCGCCACTGTTGGTTGTCTTGCCCTTGTGGGTTAGACCTCCATTGGTTTTGTTGTCCTGAACTTTGGTAGGGTTGTCTTTGATAACCTCCCTGAGAGTTGTTGACATAATTTTCTTCTTCGTAATCCTCATTTGACTTAGGTTGAACATCTTCCATCACATTCACCTTTGTGGTTTGGCTTTCAGTAAACATCTTCATTAACACATTGACATTGGTTGCAATCCCGGTAAACACTTGATCTCTTTCTTGGTTATCCTTAATCATGTTGGTCAAAGAAGGAGTACCATATCCAATTCCACCTGTAGTGTCTTCCGAGTGTCAAGCTTGTTATATTCTGCCATCTTGTCAATGATTGATTCACGTGATCCAAGCCCATGTAAAAGTTTTCCAACAAAATATTATCCAGAAAGTCATGATTCGCCGACCTCACCAAGTATAACTTGAATTTTCCCCATGTCTCATATAGATGCTCTCCCTATAATTGCTTGAAGAAGAAAATTTTATCCCAGAGCTCACACTTCTTGCTTTGCGGAAACCACTTTGCTAGGAAAGCTCGGACAAGGTCGAGCCAAGAATAGATGGAATTAGGAGGTAGATTTTGAATCCACTATCTTGCCTCTCTAGTTAGAGAGTACTTGAACACCATCGACCTTAGGGCATCATCTGAGACATGATTCTTCTTGTGCATCGTGCACACACCCAAAAAAATTCTAAGATATTGTTTCGGATCATCATCTATGGATTTTCGGAAAAACCCCTCAGCCTTAAGCATTAGGATAAGACGGTGTTCCACTTTGAAGGTGGAAACATTGATTCTTGGAGGGACAATGGCATTTGTATCCTCAATATAGTCATCTATATCCGCAAAAATATTCTCTTCTTCTGGATCTGCCATGTTTACCTAGTGAAACAAAGCAAATAAAGCAAGGTTTGATGGAATAGAAGAAGACATAAAGAAAATCACACACTAATTAGTAATTTCAAAATCGTATTTCCCGGCAACGGTGACAAAATTTGATACGCTCAAATTACACCTATATAAATGGTGTAAGGCGGTTGATATCAAATATAATAACCCAACTATGTTGGGGTTAAATCCCATAGGAAATAGGTGTGAAAATATTACTTGAATAGTGTAAAACTTGACTTAAGTCGTACTCTTATTTCGTTAGTTTAAAAACAAAATGTTGTAATTGTGAATTATCAAGAAAACTACTTTGTTTCGAGAATGTAATAAATGTGATTAAGGAAACCAAGGTTCTGTCCCCATCAATGGAATGTAATGCTAACAGTACTAATATGATATATTTCTAATGGAAGGTCGTTTGATATGCAAATGGTTCCTAAATGGATACACAATATTTTCCAATAGTTAGATAGTATTTTCTATTTATGATTTTCCCAAATATAAGAGTTACAATTAAGAACAACCAATATATACCAAATAGAACCCTCTAATTCCTAAGCGATTTTATTAAACAAGGTTTAAAGCCTTGAGCTTTTGCTATTCAATTCTACCAAAACCTAACCTACTTTTCCAAGTAATAATAGAGTGAAATTGCATTAGTCAATGTTTGCAACCATCAATAATAAATGAAGCATGAGAAATGACTAAATACCAACCAACCATTATATATATATATATATATATATATATTCAATGGTAAATACCCATGAACAGTACACCCATTTAGAATCCACAACCTTAGTATTTAAAACTAGCTACTCATACTAGAATCCAAGAACAAAGCAATAAGTAAAGTCATAAATCTTACAAAGATGACAATATTCTCTCTTCAAAAGCTTCCAAACAATGGTGTATTCAATGCTCTAAATGTAGCATCTTTTTCAGACAAGATGTCCCACCAAAACCCTAGTTATTCTATTTATTATGGGCTAAAAGGCGGGGTCAAAAAGTGATAAAAATAACCAAGTAGATCAAGTCTGCGATCGCAGAATGGGTCGCAGAACACTTTCGCGGCCCGCATATCTTCAATTCTTTCGCAGAGTTGGTTGCCCAATTCTCCAATTTGCCATCGCACTTCTATTATGTCGTCTGCACATTGATTTTGCGTGTGCATTTGGTATCGCAAAGTCTTTTTCACAGAAACACTTCTTGTATTTGTGCGGTCATTATGTTGTCCACACAAGCATTATGCGACCGCACAATGGACCGCAGAATCTACTCTCAAAACTGGGATGGTCTGCTTTACTCTACAATTGATCTGTGGCATACACATCACTTTTACGATCGCAAACCTGCCGCATTTATTCCTTTTTATGGGTTTTTATAATCTTTTCCTTGTTCTTGGTTCTTCAAGTTTGGTTTTCTGCAGAACACCAAAACTACATAAGAAATGACTTTAAATGCTTTAAAAGACGAGCTAAAGTCTATGTAATTAGTATCAAAAGTGCCGCAATTATATGACCCAACCTTCCTTCAACTAATTCAAAAACAAAACCACCCAAGATGGCTCAACAACTTTCCCACAGTTTCTATTAGCTCATGCACGTGATAAATTAACCCTCATCAGCCATGATCAACCCAAATTGGAAATTGAAGAATTAGGGGAAGAAATTCTTACCCTTTCGAATCCCTAGTATGTTCCTTTTGATGAAATTTCAAGGTTTAATCAAAGTCGAGTAGCGAAATCCTTAGTCCTCCCTTTCCTCTCTCTAGAATAGCCTTATCCTCTCTCTAAAATGTCAGGTAATCCCCAAAAATAAACCCTCAGGCTAGATAAATGAAATGGGGGTCGTGTTATAAAATTAGAAAAATAAAGACCCGATGCAGATCTACTTTCGCATGTGTGACCACATAAAACTTATGTGATCCGCAAAATAGACCGTATAATAGCCCTCAAGAACTGGGCACTTATGCTTTACTCTGCAAAAGGTCTGCAGTCCGCAGACCAATTATGCGGTTGCATAATGGACTGCAGAACATCCTTCTGAATTTTCTCATACTGAATTTGCGATGGGATCTGCGGCCCGCATAACGATTCTGCAGCCCCCATAATGGGCTGTATAATGTTCGTCAAAATTGGCAAATCTTTTTGCTTTATTCCTCGACCAATCTGCGGCCCGCAAACTAGTTCTGCGATTTCATAGTGGATGCAGAACTACCATACTCTACAAACTTTTTCCTTCAACTCCTCGACGCACTGAGCAACCCTAAAAGTTCCTACCACAGCGAGCTTGTGAGTCGCGAAGAATTTCTATAATTCTCAAACATATTAGCTTACCTCAGGAAAAACCTCGGGTTCTAGGTGAAATTTCACGGGGCCTTACATTACACTGTATTGGTTGTGTTTGGACAATGTGATGATTGTATCAAATATTATGATATTTTGAGACTATTTTTGTTTTTATTTATATTATGACTCTGTTAATTAAAGGTATATGGATTATATTTTGTTGTTTGTGAGCTGGCTTGTTTTGCAAGTTAGGCTGGGCATCATATATTGAAGCATATATTGAAAGTAGTAAACTGGTAAAGTCTTACATACAGCTACGTAGTCCCTAAGGATATTTCTATTGTTTATTGCTATTAGGCTATCACAAACCGAGGAACTTAAGAGTTGTGTTCCAAAACATACACCATTCATGTCCTTTTCCAGAAAAACTTTAACAAAATAAGGTGGACGTGCATGGTAGATACTTTTTTCTGCCATGAAGAGGTTGATTCCTTCCATAGCCAAATGATGAGCTACTGCATTAACCTCCCTGAAGTTATGGCTGATTCTTGATATCTTCAACTGGCGCATTAGCAACCTACATTTGAGTAACATATTATTAGTTAGGAATTGTCCTCATTGAGCATTTTAATCATTTCTAAATAATCTTCTTCAATTTCTATCGATGGAAAAGACATCTCCAGTGCAATTTTAAGACCTTCCTCCAGCGCTAATAATTCTGCATACAATGGAGATGTTGCATAACAAGATTGGTGAAATCCCATTATCCAATTGCCATTTCTATTACGAAAAGCACCTCCTAGACCTGCATATAAGTTAGTCTTTGAAAAGGCTTCATCAATATTAGTTTGATTGTATTTTGGGGAGGTTTTAGCCAGTTGATGGCAGTTCTTATTTTAGATTGTTTGAGGGACTTTCTTTCGGTGAAAACATTATACTCCCAAGATGGGTTAAGAACTAGATTTACATGAATAGTTTGTTGTAGATTAATGATATTGTTATGGTTTCTATTTTTCCAAAGGTTCCAGATGGCAAATAAAAAATATTTGCCCAATGACCTTGTTGGGTTCTATTGTGCAATTGTCTATTTTTAATGGAGAT